ATATATACACACACACACAAATATATACATACCTGTCTTTAGGATTGTAATGGTCATCTCTTGGTGATGGGTAATCATCCCTCCTGGACAACATTGAGTCTCTGCGAGGTGGACCATATGAATCCCTGTCCCTTGACATCGGGGCTAAAATATACAACAAATTAGTTAGTTAAACACTCAGTCAAATGAAGCTCATATAAGAATTTACTAGAAATGATTATAACTTGCATCAAATTTAGATTTAATTTTCCCCTACACAGAAAACTCAAAAGTATGTTTTTAATGCAGTTTACAGAGAACAATACTTACCCCTGTTCATGGGACCAGATAGGGCCGGTCTCTTCATCGGTGGACCTCCATTACGAACTGGGGGACCCCGTTTCATTGGTGGAGGGCCTCTGGACCCTTTATAGAAGGGTTCATCTGATCCTGAATCATAGTAGTCTTGACAAACAAAAATTGTCATTTAAAGCTTGCCGATTCTGGACAAATTATTTAAAACAAAAAAAGTTCACACAAGCACCATAATACTTTCAAACTCAAATTATACAATTTCAATATTTACCTCTGGATGGGGGACTCCTCATGCCTCCTCTGGAACCACGGGGACCTCTGGGTGGACCACGACTCCGAGAATACATGGGAGGACCTCGCCTGCCAGCACTTTCAAACTGAGGCTTTGTAGCTTGCTCCACTTTGATAGGCTTGCCATCAAGAGACTGAAGAGTTGCAATGTTAAGGTGATTGGTATGGTAATGCTTGCTTCAAAAGAAAATAATATGGGAATATTTTCTTTTTTTACCTTTCCATTCATTTCACGGGCTGCATCTTTTGCATCAGCAGGACTTTCAAAGGTAACAAATGCAAAACCCCTTGACTTGTTTGTTTCACGATCCTTCATCAGAAGAACTGAATATGTAAATATAAGATATCAACAGAGTTTGTTATTGAAACAATAATTTACACAAGCCAATACATTTTGCAAAGAGATAAACTTGAATTACTTCCTTCAAGAACTGGTTTAGTTTCATTCTACATTTCTTTAACAATACAAAACTGATAAAAGATAAGCCCTTCAGGAATAAATAAGATCATGGGCAAAACCATGTAGATTTAGATTTTTTTTATAATCAGTTTATGTTCTTAATATTAAATCCCAATGACAAAACTGTGCTGCAAAATAAAGTTAAGTAATAATAACTACCGGTAATAAACGCAACAAAGGAAGCTTTTAATAAGACAAAATCGAATAACTCCAGACATATCGTGCTTTACTTCCGTTTAGGAACAACGCTGATATATTAAGCATGTCTTCAAATCGTCCATCTCCAAAAACGGTGGTATTAAAATCGGTTAATTACGATATTAAAAGTGTAAAAACAATTCCCACCTTCGACAATTCTGCCATATTTGCTGAAGTACTGCTCCAAGGCCTTCTCGGTGGTCTCTGTGTTCAACCCACCGATGAAGAGCTTGCCTGGTCGGTCTGCCTCCGCCATTCTCTGCACAACAATCCGCCTGCAAAAAAAGGTTTAAGGTAAGCCACTTGGCATAAAACTAACAACAAAAATGCAATTCTATATTGTGTTTTTTTTTTATCCGTTTTAAGCACCTTACTCGCGGCGTGTCTTCGACTGTTGAATGCGCAAAATGGCGATTTTTCGCGCCAGTGATTTTTTTTTAGCTAGGCAGTTTAACGTTATCAGACTCCTACCTAATACTAAAATACCTTACTTTGCAAGCGCGAACACGCTACTTTTAGAAGGTATGAAATATAGCTACTTATATCAAGCGTATTACGCGTGTATCATGTAGCTAAATACTACCGCACCGCAATATGCCGCACGTTGGCCTTACCCTACAACGATAGAGAACAACGGTCGGTTCCTCTTCTTCGTGTGCTTCTTCTTCCGGTGAAATTTGTTGTACAAGGAGGCAAGTGTTTTACTGCCCCCTATTGGTCGTTGAAGGAAGTGCACAATTATCGCAGTTTTTTTTTTTGTTTTTGTTTGTTTGTTTGTTAATACTTTTTTGTTGTACAGTACAGTATTATTTATAGGTGTTTCCTGCAGCTTACAGTCACATGCCATATAAAGTATACTGTAATACAGAATCGTATATTGTGGTCAGCTGCTTTAGTTAAAAAAATACTATAATATTGTAAAATACATCCTGATGCATGCTCAATAATCCAGGTAGAAAAATCTAAAAAGTTAAGTCAGGTCCTCTGGATGTTAAAAAAAAAAAAAAAAACAGTAATGCATTAACGGTGTCGTTGTCTTTCATTGTTTTTCTATTTTATGCTGTATTTAAACAAAGCAATACATTTATGAATAAAATGCAGACATTGTGCTCTCCCTCCAAAAGTTTACTGCTCAGTTGAAATCTCTAAACAAATAGGTTCTTTGCTCTTTTTTCAAATATGCTTTATTGTTCATGTATCTAAGCATGTACAAATATTAATGTGTTCCATTTTTATATACAATGAACAGTAAAGAACATCATCCTCGGGGTTTAATGGAAATAAGAAAGTCCACAACTTGTAAACATTTTATGTTTACAGCATTATTTCTTGTAATAAAATTAGTATTTTCCACCCACACATGTTGTGGTATCAGTGCATTGACAGCTATATTAGTATGCTTATAAGATATAAGCATAAAGTAATGAGCTTATCTACTATTGGGTATTGAGAAACAAAGGAAATGTCAGCGTCCCCAGTCTTAGCTGATGTTCATCAGTCAGCATAAAACATCTGGGGACAGGCTCCTGTGAGTGATGTTGTCCAGGCTCCTCCAAATTTCAGCTGGGCTGTTAGCTGAGAAGCTGCTTTTCAGCTTCTCGCTGTAGCTTCTCTTAGCTGCCCTGATCTCCTTGGTCAGTTTATTTCTTGCCTGTTTATATGGGCCAGTTCCCACAGCTGTAAGCCTCTTCTTTATCTCAGATGTGAAGTGAACCATGGTTTATCGTTATTGTATAAGGTCTTGGTCTGCACATACATCCTCACAAAAACTGATGTAAGAAGTGACAGTTTCAGCAAATCTGTCCAGGTTCATGGCTGAAGATCATATCCCACTGTTAAGGATTTTCTCTCTACAAATGATCAGTATCTCTGCTGGTTGCACATCTGACTATTAGTTTCATGACTGTTGAAATGGGTATAAAATTTGCTAGAGAATTCAGATGTTTAAAGCTTTTAATACTGCATTTTTTTTCTTGAATCAGTTTCAGATTTTGACAAAACCTTCTCCTCTAGATTTTCATCTTTCTATCCAACTTCTACTGCTTATCTGTTATCAGATCGCAGAGGCAACAGGTCCAAGAGAGAAACCCAGACCTCCCTCTCCCCAGTGACACTTTTCAGCTCGTTCTGGGGGACCCCAAGGCAATCCAGTTCAATTCAATTCAGTTTATTTATATTGCGCCAAGTCACAACCAAAATTTCTAAACCAGAGAAAATACACAATCCCTCCAGGGGCTCTCCTACCTGTGGGTCGTGCCTGGAAAACCTCCAAAGGGAGGTGTCCAGTAGGCATCCTAAAAAGATGCCTGCACTTCCTCAACTGACTACTTTTGTTGCAGAGGAGCAGCGACTGCACTTCAAAGTCCCTCTGGATGAGAAAGCACCTCACCCTGTCTCTAAAGCCTGGCCACCCTGCGACGGAAGCCCATTTCGACCTCTTGTATCCGGGATCTTGTTTTATCAGGTCATAATCCAAATCTCATAACCATAGATGAGGGTTTGAGCGTAGACAGGCCAGTAAATCGAGAGCTTTGCCTTTTGACTCAGCTCTTTCTTCACCAGACTGAAGCAATTCTCTCATTACTGATGGCGAGGCCCCAATCTGTCAGTCCATCCCCTGCTCCATCCTACCATCACACATGAACAAGATGCCCAGATACTTGAAATCCTCCACTTGAGGCAAACACTCTCCCCTGACCCAGAGGGGGCATTCCACACATTTCTGCTTTGATTATACAGGGACTGGATAGCTCTTAAAAACAACCCAGACACCCCACACTCCCACAACACACCCCACAGAATACCTCAAGGGACACAGTCAAAAGCCTTCTCCAGGTCCACAAAATGCATGTAGACTGGAGAGACAAACTATGGCCGCCTTAGCAAGGGTGAAGATCTGGTCCACTGTTCCACGACCAGGACAGAAGCCACACTGCTCCTCCTGAATCTGAGGTTTGACAATTGGTCAGTCTCCCTTCCAACACCCTGCAGTAAACTTTCCGGGGAGAGCGAGGTGTGATTTCACGATTATTGGAACACACTCTCCGGTCCCCCTTTTTAAAAATGGGAACCACCACACCATTCTGCCACACCACAGGCAATGCCCTAGTCCTCCATGCAACATTGAAGAGATGTGTCAACCATGCCCCACAACATCCAGAGCCTTAAGCATCTTGGGGTGAATCTCATCCACCCCTGGCACCCTGCCACCAAAGAGCTTTTTGACTACCTGGTTGACCTCTGCCATGGTAATGGACTCATCAAGTCCCTCTAGTACAGCTTCAGATAGTTTTTTTTTTTTACCTTGTGGCTTTCACTCTGACTTCATGTGTGCATTACCTGAATTCAGATATGAAATGTAGTCTCCATTCAAGTTGATTCAATTCAATTCAATAATACTTTATTAATCCCAAAGGGAAATTATTTTGTTGTTGTAACTCGTTATCCTCATTTCATTAAGAGATGTTATAGATGCTGATGGCTGTAGACAGGAAGGATCTCTTGTAAAGGTCCATCCCACAGTGGATCCTAAGAAACTGGCTGCAGGTGCCGTCCGATCCGTCCACCCAGACTCGGCTGGCCTCTCGGTTCCCCTGAACTGTAGGACCGTTTGAATGCTGGGCAGAACTCCTCCCAGAGCGATGGCCACTCCTCCCAGCAGCCTGCCGAGCTCCTCATAGCTGTGGACAGTCAGCTGTAGGTGCTGAGGGACGATCCTGTCCTTCCGCTGTCGTGAGCTGTGTTTCCTGCTAGTTCCAGGATCTCAGTGATCAGGCACTCGAGCACAGCTGGCAGGTAGATGAGAATGCGTCCACAGAACATCCTTTTCAACTCATTTGAGAGTTGGGGCCATAGTTGAGATATTATTTGAGCTTTTGAGATGTTAATCAGCTGCTGTTGTTGTAGAAAACTGCCTTGTTGCCATGGTTACGCATCATAACAAATGTACAAAACCAAAAAAGTTTCAGTAAAAATCCTTCCGGCTGCACAGCATCTGATACCAGAGGAAACAATCATCCAAAAAATGTGATTTACATCCAGAAAAAGAGGAATTAAAGTTTCCAAAAGCAAAATCTCAGAATGAAAGTAACAGAGCTGCTCCAACATGCAGCCACCTTGAGCGGCGCAATTCTAGAACATTAGCGGCGCAATTCTAGAACATATGATGATACATGTCAAACAGTAAATGTTAAATGGAAAGTACTTATTTGGCACCTTTATATCTAATCAAGGCCCTCAGGGTGCTTACACTATGATCTGTGCCCTCATTTACCCATTCATACACACCAACCAAATTTAACAAATCATTTAAAAGAGACTAAACATTGCTTTTGGATCACATTCATACACCAATGGGACACACATCAGATGCAATAAGGGGTTCAGTCTTGCCCAGGGACACTTCAACATGCTGGTGGAATCGAACCCACAACTCTCCCATTGACGACTGCTCAAACAATTCAGCCCCTAGTATGCATCTAGTATGATGCACTAGATTTTGGTTGTCATAATGTCATAGAGACTAACCTGTAAAAATAAAGGTTGAATGAATAATCCCATACCCAAAATATTGCTTTATCGAACTTGAGAGGCGTGTTATTTAAAATAAGACTTCAATCAATAAAAGCTCTGTCGTACTTTCTAGGCCGTCATTTACTGTAAAATTAAGCTTTGTCTTTTACGATGATTACCCCCACCCCCAGTGCAGAAGGTGAAGAAAGGTGTTCTTGAAGTCACACAAGCCACGTTAAGTTCCACCGTGTCAAAAAATGACTGCAAATTAGCAGCCTGCCAAAATAAAACGTACGGCCATGTGCATGTACTGTCTGAAGATGCAATCATCAGTTTACATTAGTTCTCACGATACCATTTTATAAATATTATCCTAAAAAATACACGACGAGCGCATTTACGCAAGCAAAAAGTAAAACAATTCGAAAATCATAGCATAAAACTCACTGCATGCTTTTATTTTGAAAGTAACTATTAGTTTTCCGGTAAAAACCCTGCGACTTCCGCATAACTTGACCGAAGGCTACGTCACCGATGCTACAGAGACTGGGCCAGCTCAGTCTATGTCTTAGAGCAGTAAGATAACGCTCAGCTAACTCTACAGAGCTGGGGCGCATTTGTTTCCACTAGAAGGAACAGAATTATACTTTTAAGAAGTATACGGTATCTTCGGAGAGCCGCGTCCGCACTAAAATGAAGAGGCGCATATCAATTAGCTTCGTGCTGGTCGCTTATTATTTCTGTTCGAGCTCGGCGTTTTATCTTCCGGGTTTAGCCCCTGTGAGTTTTTGTACAGAGAAAGGTCTCGACGACTGCCAGGTATGTTTAAACGAGAAGACTCACAGTTATTAACAAGCGTAGTGCTTTTCTTTTACGGAAACTTTGAACTAATTGTTTTTATTTTATTTGTTTTTACCGTATTACAATAGTTGCTAGCTTGTCGCCCCCTAGGCCTCAACGCCACCTTGACCGGGGCAGATTCTTATTTTAATGCGGTACAAATAGTTGTTTGTTCTCGCTGTTAATAAAATAGCTAAGCAAACATGTTCATTTAATGAAATAATTTGTTCTTTTTACTCCTTTAGATCTTAAAGGTTTACTTCACTAAGCTACATTTGAGTAAAGAATGGTAACGCCTTCTTAGCATTTTTAGACTGACCTGTTGATGTCCAGGAAAGCTGTATCATCAACCCTCTGACTAAAAAAATATATATAATAATTAATTTTTGTCTTGTGTTGAAATGCATATTGATTAGGTGGGAGATATGTATATGTGTGTGCATTGTTTTTGCTGAATAAACTCCATCAACCTCTGAATGTTCATCTTGTTTACAGACAGACATTCAGCTGTTTGTTAATCGTTTGGACTCAGTGGAGTCTGTTCTACCCTATGAGTATGACGTGTAAGTTATATTTCTGCCTCTTATAACATTTTGGTTTGATATGCATGGTACATTTTCCTATATGTGCTTAACTATTTGGAATTTTGGTGAAGGTTTGACTTTTGCAAAGACGATAAGGAGAAGAGGCCATCTGAGAACCTGGGACAGGTACTGTTTGGTGAACGAATTGAGTCTTCTCCATACAAGGTAAGTGTCTGTATATTAATTAATGTGGACTGGCCTATTTCATGTTATCAGCTATCATACAAGTTTGTATAGTTCTTAAATATTTCACTTTCTTCACAGTTCCAGTTCAAAAACAATGTCAAATGTCAGGCAGTGTGCACAAACACTTACAAGAAAGGCAACAAGCTGGATGCAGCCAAGTTGGACTTTCTCAAGATGGGAATGCAGCTGAACTATCAACATCACTGGTTTGTAGTTGTCACTAATCTAATTCTTTTTTTTTTCCAGCTTTTGTGTATTTGTCTGAAATATGAAGTAAAAACAAGGCCTCAGTGCAGATTATTCATATTTAAGTTATAAAAAGATTTGTTGAGTGTAATCAAAAATACATTGTTTTAGGATCATCGACAACATGCCAGTGACATGGTGCTATGATGTTGAAGATAATCAAAAGTACTGCAACCCTGGCTTCCCCATTGGCTGCCTGGTTGCAGCTGATGGTAGAGCAAAAGATGCTTGTGTTATAAATGTAAGTTGTTAACTTTTTTTTTTTTTGCTTTAAGTGATTTTTATTCTGAAAATCTGTGCTTCAACTAGTGATACACATTGTCAGTTGCTAGAAGGAAATACTTTTTAATAATGATAAAATAAAATTTCAAAGGAAGGAATTTTGACCTTGATGGCATGGATTATTATTTTTTTTCCCAAGTTAATCAATATGCATGGGTCACATGTAAAATCTCTTCTCCTTTGGCTGGCATGTTTGAAAGGCTATTGATACCATTTATTTGTCCTGATGCATGCCCAATAATCCAGGTAGATGCATCTAACAAGGTTAAGTCAGGTCCTCTGGATGGATTCATCTTTGTTGAAACGTTTTGTCTTTTGTCCAAACGACTTCTTCAGTCTGAGTCTTCTGAGAAGTTTTTTAGATAAAAGACGAAAAGTTTCAACGAAAAGGAATCCGTTCAAAGTTCCTGACTTGACCTTGTTGGATAACATTTATTGTAATGAGCTATTTGGAACTGACCTGCTCGACTAACCAGTAGTACCAGAAGAGCAGAGTTATCATTCGCTCCTGCAGCCCTATACAGCTAAACAAGCATGTATGGATTCAGCCATGATCATGTGCTTTAACCCAAGTGCTTTTTAGTTGGGTAATATTGTTTATATGGCAATTAGTCTTGACATTAAAGTTTAAAGTTTTTGGAGGAAAGTTTACAATAAAGTTTAACACTTTTCTTTCTAAACATGGACATATCTGTTCTCAGATTATCACAGTTTTAACTTAAACTTTTGTTACAGACCTTGAAACTCCTTAGAAGTGCACCAAATGACCTTCCAGTTGTTTGCTGTGTTGCCGAAACACATCTAGTTCTTGTCTAGTTTAGTATTCATGCTTTTAATTCTCAACATTTTTTCCCTTTATTTTCCACAAAACTGTTCTAACCTGTATATTTTAAACGGGAAACAAGCAACTCTTCATTTTTTTAAACTATGAACAAGTTTTAAATGTTTTGTTTCCCCACATCTGAATGTATTCATGGCCTTCTCTGAATATCTTAATGGCCCTGACTGTTGGCCACATTGTTTTAAGCCATTTGCTGATAATAAATTTTAAAACGCTGATTAGTACAAGTAATGATGCAAATAAATCTATGAGACATGAATTCTAATCAGTTTTTTTGTGTTTTTCAGTCCGAGTTCAACAAGAGAAGCACATTTTATGTCTTCAACCATGTTGACATAAAGATCACTTACCACAGTGGAACATCAGAAGGTTGGAGTGGTGCTCGGCTGGTTGCTGCCACCCTCGAACCAAGGAGGTAAATTTTGGGTGTACTTTTTAGCATAATGGCAACATGACATGAAAAATTAATGGTGGCTTGTTCGCAACAGCATCAAACATAATGACGAGAAAAACCCAACTTGTGGAGGAGGTCCAATGGAGGTCCCAGCAGAGTTTTCTGATGACGTCAAAATCACTTACACCTACGCTGTCACTTTTGAGGTAGACCTCTAAGTTATGTGGCAAATTATTTGTTTTATGTATCTGTTAGGGAAAGTTTTTTTAATTTTAATTTGCATGTTTTTCCACAGGAAAATAATACCATCAAATGGGCCTCTAGGTGGGATTACATCCTGGTTTCCATGCCTCACACCAACATCCAGTGGTTCAGGTCTGAAATGTTTTTCATCAGAGATATACCTCCTTTAAAACGCTTGTTTGTTATTTAAACAGTTTTTTTTTTCCCCAGCATAATGAATTCTTTGGTCATTGTGCTCTTCTTGTCTGGGATGGTTGCCATGATCATGCTGAGAACTCTGCACAAAGACATTGCCAGATACAACCAGGTGGATCAGGTACAAAGCATCATTTAACCCTCTGATTCCTATGTGTATATACAAACGCCAGCCTTATTCTAAAGTGGAGGTATTAATTTCACTAAAAACTAACGACGACGGTCTGGAGCGTCCTTATTGGTGCACAATGGGAGACTTGGTTTGCAAAATGTAAATGAGTCAACAAAGCTGCATGTGGTGAAAACTATTCTAAACCAACAGCTGTAAATGAACAGCAGCTTTGCTTTTAACTCATGCTTATTGGGTTTCTTTCACTACTAGCTATGCTAATTTGAAGATATACTGAAAAACGATAAACACTTTTGAATGTCACAAAGGAAAATGTGACGCATTAGGACGATAAAATGCTTTATTAAATTCAGACCTCCAGACTGACTTTTTCCGTTCTTTACACTAGTTCGCCTAAATGTAAAATCCATGAAAACAAGCCAAAACCTTTAGAGCAAGGCTTATATTAAATGTAATGCTACATGTTCTGATATTTAGTTCTCAAATTCCTGTAATTTTAATATATTTACTCAGTATTTTTTATAGAATATCCACAAATAATGGCAACTATCACCTGTTTCATTTTAAATAAGACCTTACAGAAGAAAATTAAAACTTAAGACAGCAAAGACTCAACATTTTCAAGTTGGATCTTTGTTGTGCATTAAAATGGTATATAAAAAACAAAGAGGTGGATTTGTGGGTTTGAAATTTTCGTCCTTAAAGTCCGAACTAGAGTCTGCGACAAAGGTAAAGTGGTATGTGTAAAACGGGAGTGGCTCAGGCAACAGTGTAGCTGTCATTCAGGTCAGACTGCTACGTTGCAGTCGGATCATTGTGACCAAATGAGAACGACAGTAGCTCAACACAGATTCCTTAAAGCCAGAGACACATCCATTGTATGGAAATAGTTTGTTTTACACATCAAGGTAACTTTAGCTGCATTTGAAAACTTATTTCTGAGGCAAATTCTCTTGAATGTATTTGGACTCGTGAGTTGCAGATCTTTATTTACAGTAGGATTACTGAATTTATTGCTTCAGTGTTTTCTATTTAACTTTATCTTTAAGAAATTAGCTGGCTGCTGTTCAGCCAGTTAATCTGGATCGGACAGTTTTCATTTACACTTTAATTTCCTTTATCTGTACAGGTTAGTCTCATTGAAACAGTTATAAGCAAGAAAGACTTGTTATACAGAAATAAAACGATACAATTCATTCATTCTACCTTTATTTATACATGTTAGTCTCATTGAGCCTCCAGGACTCATTTACAAGAGAGACCTGTTTAATTAATACAATTGAATAACACAGGGACATAATGCAGACTTGTTCCTGTTTTCTACATTCGCCTTAGAATCTAGCTGTTTTTTGTTACTTTTCTTTTTTTAGCCATCCTATTTGTTAAATAAAAAATAAAAAAATCTTTATGCCTTTATATAACTGTCTATTGTTGTCGTCATTCTTTGTTGAAATCAGGTCCCTCTTGTAAATGAGTCCTCGAGGCTCATTGGGATTTACCCATCTAAATAAAGGTTGAATGAATGAAAAATACAACCAATAAAATATATTTGTATAAAATATTCAAACGACGTTTTCATGCCTAATGTTTGCCGTTGTGTTGGAAAAATTTCTATTAAACAGCTAGTTACTGATCAGATACCGAACAACCAAGACAAATGTAATGGTCTTCACTTCTTAACATTGTTTTAATATTTACGGTGCTTAAAAGGAGGATTGCAACAATTCTTTTGGTCTCTTACTCATACGAGACTCATAAAGAGATTGTCACTTCCTTCTGGTGTTAGGAAAGTTTTATAAACACAATTAAGAAAGGAAAAATAACGTTTTAAAATCAAACTGAGGTGTGTTTTTGTAAAATTGAAGTGAGGTATTGAGGGTCTGCTGCACTTGTGTGAAGCTGTGTATCCAGTGTAGTAGAAGAGTAAAAAGTATCATCAAATATGGTGACAATGACGGCCCTAACGTTCAACTATAATTGTTTTTTAATGACTTATTGTAGATTTGTAATTATTCTAAACCTCCTAGTGTATAATCAAATTTAGTCATAATTTAGAGCTTTTCACCTTGTAGTCCAAGTTTCCTGATTTATTCAAGTATTTGGCTAATGCTTTAAATTTGCAATGTTCAAAACCACCCAGCACTGTTCCCCAAGATTATCTATATTTTTACATTTCACAGGAAAACTTGATAAAGGTTCCATCGGCCAAGGAAAAATCTTCTCTACCTTATGTAAGCCTTATGACAGTCATTTCAGAGATATTTTGTTTCAAATAAATCAGGTGCTTGGGTGTGTATGGTTTTATTTTTAGCAACAAGGTGTATGTGAGCAAATTGTAAAATGTGGTGTGGATGATTTAATCTAAATTTAATTAAATTGTTAGTTTCCAAAAAAAAAGAAGCTAATTCATAAGAATTGACACGTTAGTCCACACCAAATTTTACTTTTTTTTTTTTTTTTTTTTTGGTAAAATGATTCTTGTCCTACTTTTGCTTTACTACAAGGTGTCAGATTTAAAGCAGCAGTTACTGGCTGGTGATTGGTGAACCTTTTAACTCTTGTGTTCAGATGTCAGCCATTGTGTTGATGCCCCTTTCTCCTTTTCTTTTCAGGAGGACGCACAGGAAGAGTCGGGATGGAAGCAAGTTCACGGAGATGTTTTCCGTCCACCCAGGAAGGGAATGCTGCTTTCCGTGTTCCTTGGACAGGGCACACAGATCTTTATCATGACCTTCATCACACTCTGTAAGGACTATTTTACTCCCACTAACTTTGCATTAATCTGTATTAACAGCAGGGTTAGGCACGATGTATGATTTTTATTGTAGCAAAATATGGGGACACTGGTTTTCATGAAATCCGAGAGTACCTTCTATTGTTTGCATTTGCAAAACTTGTTACTCGGGGACAACAAGGAACACAGATATCATTTTGAATTCCCAGTGGTAAATCACTGAAACGTATTCTTTCAAATAGGCAGATAACCACATTTTAAGACAAAATGTGGAACTGTATACCTGTGGGTTCAAATTTAGAGTGCAGCTGACTCCAAAATAAAATGAATCCAAGAGTGTACTTGTCAAAAGCTTCCAACAACTTGGCTCACACAGTGTTCACTGTAAAGTCACATAAAACTGATTCCTAATAAAGAAGACAAGAAGTCCGTCTGACGCCCTCTTGGGCTTTGAATGTGATAGATTGTCAGAAATGAAAGGTCGTTATTCTCTTAAGTGATATGCTTGTCCTTCACTGTCGCAATGTGACAGATTCCACATTTATGCAAAGGCGGAAATGAAATATTTCAAATTGGAAGTGAACTATGTCTTGTTGGGATTGAAGAACACAGACAAACTTTTTGGCATCCTTTCTGATTCGTCCTGACCTTGTTTCTGTAAACGTAAAGGCTTTGTGCAAAGGCAAATCTTGAGATGCAAAATCTCAAAATACGTCTCAAAACCCCTGACAGCCAAAGGGATTTTATCTACCTGCTCTAAACAATGATCAGATGTCAGTTTCCCGTTTACACTGCGTAGTGTTTTGCTTGGATATTAAATTAACCTTACTGAATTTTTTTAGGCCAAAATATTTGAATGCAAAAAAAAAAAAAAAAAAACTCATTCTTTCATTCTTCACGCCTTGTGCTGCCCTCCCCGTGTCTCTGTTGTCTGGGAAGCAGAACTTTTCCAAATGGAAATATTTCAACATGCTATGTGATCCTTAGGAGTTTTATCACTCGTTATAGTAGCTGTAAATGTTCTGTGGTATCTCACTGGACTGTGACTAGTTGTGAATGGCACACACGAGGGACTCTTCAAAAAGTCTTGTGACGTTCTCAAGGGTATTCAGTTTCAAACCCATCTCGAACCCACCTGAGTTTTGTTGCCGGTGTCACTAACTCGTCTCAAGAGTACAAGCGCTGTAGTTTGACACCTGCATGGGAGTTGGCTTAGGAGAAAACATTCAAAACCAATGTCTGAAACCCACGCCAGTGAGAATAATAATAATAATGGGTGTAAAAACAAAATAGGCTACAACTTTCTAGAACTGGTGGTTTTCAAAGCAGCCACAACAGAACATTTGCACATTTTCTTGCATTTTTGCTGCAATTTTGAGATGCTAACTAGTTTCCAAAAGTTGCAGCCCAGTGAGATACTACTTCAGACTCTAAAAATATACTGCAGACTCATAACTTGAATACAATCTTAAGTTATGGGACAGCAGCTTTAACAAACAAGTGTTTTTTATTCTAAATATACTGTAAATGTACATACAAAGATGTCTTTTTGTGAGGAGAGCACTGATGTCTCTTTGTCTACTGTAGTCCTGGCCTGTCTGGGTTTCCTGTCTCCTGCCAACAGAGGGGCTCTGATGACGTGCTCTGTGGTTCTCTGGGTCCTGCTGGGGACACCTGCTGGCTATGTGTCCGCACGTCTTTACAAAAGTAAGTGTCTATATTGTTCCTTTAAAAAAAGGGGGGGGGGGGGGTATTTGAAATATTCGTAAATAATCTCTTACCTGCAAGAAAGCCTGAAGCATTAACATGGAGAAAGTTAAACACTCAAACCAGGGGAACAAGATATGCCTTTGAAAATAACAGGATTGAAACATTTTATGCAAGTGTAGGTGAAAATTGAACATTTTCCTCAAGTCATTATGACTTTAGTTTTTAGATGGCTAAAAATGCCAGTTATCTTGGGTTTTAAATCAGAAACATTAATGATTCCTGAAACTGAGAGCCCATTGACAGTCTTGTGAGACATTACTTTTAGGTTCTTGAGCACAGGGCAGACTGTCATTATCTCTGTCATGCTGATCTCACTCGTGTCTGTTTTTTTTTTTTTTTTTTTTTTTCAGCTTTTGGAGGTGAAAAGTGGAAGACTAACGTCTTGCTGACAGCACTTCTGTGCCCAGGGTATGTTTTCTTACCACAGCGGCTTGACTATCGCTCATAATCTAATTCCACATTTCTCCTTGTCAGTCCTCAAGCCAGTCTGTAGCCTTGCACACCAGCGTTATCCTACTCTTGTTTGATCTTTGTTTATCATTGTCCTTTCGTTTTCTTCCCTAGGATTGTATTTGCAGACTTTTTCCTGATGAACCTGATCCTATGGGTTGAGGGTTCATCTGCAGCGATCCCGTTTGGCACTCTGGTGGCCATTTTGGCTATGTGGTTTGGAATCTCTGTGCCCCTCACTTTTGTTGGAGCCTACTTTGGATTCAAGAAGCCTGTGAGTTAGACCTCCTTAGATAATTATTTGTTGTGGTTGCAAAGACAAATTGTAGATGAAACACATGCACGTTTGCTGTTCTGTCACTGATTTTGTTTTTGCTGCTTTTCAGGCAATTGAGCAACCAGTACGAACAAACCAAATCCCCCGTCAAATCCCTGAGCAGTCCTTCTTCACTAAACCTATCCCTGGTATTGTAATGGGTGGGATCCTGCCCTTTGGCTGCATCTTCATCCAGCTTTTCTTTATTCTTAACAGCATTTGGTAAGTGTAAAAATGCTGTCTTATCTCTACTGGTCTTCTTTTTCCATTTTGAGTACAGTCCAGTAAAACAAATGCAGCTTTGCACTTGTTGACTCCTATTCATTAATATAACTTGTCTGTGCTTTAGGTCTCATCAGATGTACTACATGTTTGGATTCCTGTTCCTGGTCTTCATTATTCTGCTCATCACCTGCTCCGAGGCCACAATTCTGCTGTGCTACTTCCACCTATGTGCAGAGGTACGCGAATGACCACAATGGGTTTTCTTCACGACATATATTTACTATAAGGTCCCAAAATGAGATCTGTGTTCCCTTTCCATCAAGGACTACCACTGGTGGTGGCGTTCCTTCCTGACCAGCGGCTTCACAGCAGTTTATCTGTTCATCTATGCCGTGCACTACTTCTTCTCAAAGCTGCAAATTATTGGAGCGGCCAGTACCATATTGTACTTTGGATATACGATGATTATGGTCCTCATTTTCTTCCTCTTCACAGGTGAGAATTTCTTATTTTGATATAAATCTTTTTAGAGGCAGTTTAATTTCCTGTTTTGGCTTTTAGCAAAGTTCTGGACTCTTCATTAAACATATTAGCAATTGATTTTTTTTTTTTTTTTAGATGGTTGCACGGCAATCTTTTATGACCAGTGAGTAAGGTTTAGAGGCTGAAAGGAGTTCAGGTTTTATCAGTTGCTCTGTTTGTTCAGTTCAACAGCAGGAAAAAGAGGATTCAGGATCCTGTTGTTGGAATAGACAAATAACTTTTTTTTTTTTTTTTTTGATTGTCCAATATTTGTTCGCCTGCTTAGTAATAAAATCAAGTCAGGTGTTTTTCTACGTCCGTTTGAGACGTGCTGTGGTGCAGTCTGTCCTTCTGTGGACAGTTTCTTGTCTGAGCTCTAAATTCATACCCCTTTAACATAAATATATCAAACTGCACGACTGGATGTCTCATGGCTCGATGATCCCTATTGATTTCCATATCACTGGGTCAGAGGTTAAGGTTGAAAGAAGCCGTTGTAAAAACCTCGTCTGTGCTCCAACTTATTAATATTGTAAGATAGAAACATCAAGCCCTTTGTTCCCTAGATTGTCCCTATTTGTCCATCTATAAGACGGTACACAGAAACTTGACCATGTAACTCCACGTACGTTTAGGATAGAAATTGCCATCAGACAATGGCTTCACATCTGATCTTTTTATGAAGACCACTTCCACATAATAAATCTTGAAGGCACTCATAAAGACTATTACTCTGGTCATAAAATAATTTGGAAGTCACTGAGGGATAAAAATTTCTTCATATTGCAACTGGTTGCTGGAATTTTACGTTTTATGTTCTTATATTGAACTGTTTGTCAGTTTACACCATGGACAAACCCGCTCTTTTCGAAGCTCCAAAATTCACGTTTGAAACCCGTGCCTTTGTGTGAAAAGTTGTTTTTCTCTGCAAAAAGAAGCTGAGAACTTGTTTACTGAATTTTTTTTTTTATTAAAAGCTTTGTGAAAAATGCTATGCTAAAGAGCTCCAACCACACAGAGCGTCCGCCATTTTGAGAACCGGAAAAAAGGAAGGAGACAGCCCATGTCGCGTCAAGGGGTCTCCCTCCCATTTTTCTTAGAAACACGCTGCTCGCTCCCTCACTATCCATCCTTCAGTTCAAAAAGTCTTATACTGCCATCTGGTGGTCAAAAAGGTACTACACTCAAAATAAAACTAACAAACATTTCTTCATAAATTTGACAATAAGTACAAATTGTCAAATTTCAAACATTATCCTTTATCGCAATAATTTCTGAGGCAATTAATCGCCCAGCAAAATTTTACGTGACAGGCCTTCCATTTTGTTGAGGTTTGCTGCTTGAATAGTAAGAGCCAAATATTATTAGGGATTTTATTTTTGTCTCAAATCTACAGCCAACTCCAACATCAATCAATCAATCAATCAATCAAACTTTATTTATAGAGCCCTTTCCAGCAGCCAAAAGGTGCACAAAGTGCTGCACAGTACAGAAGTTAAAAACAAACAAGAATAAAAAATCAATCATAGTCAATCATCATCATGGTTGATACTTTGTGTACTTTATCTAGATTTTTTTTCTTCTTAATTCTGTTTTCTCTCTTTATTCTTTTGTTTGTCTTCAGATTGAGGAGATGTTCGTCACACCATATCACAATGATAACGTGAAAAAAACACGATACAGACACTGTTGTTTTAAATTAACAGTTTAGTGGCGCTCTTGAGCTTTGTTTGGCAGCCAGCCTAAATGAAATTCAGGACATGTGCAGAAAGGATAATAAGTACTAATGATGTGCAAATACCCACCTAGTCTGTATGTTGCACAAGAGTATTTGTCTCATCATGATGCCACACGACAACACTTTCTGGTGTAATATTGTCATGGGGAAGATAAAAATGCCACTGCACTGCTTGTAACGGCGGCAGTGTTTGACAATGTCGAGACGGAGATATAAGTAGAACGTGGATAAGATGTCAAAAGTATTCAGGGAAAAGATGATCATCCCTCCTTGCTTCTAGTTTTGAACTCATTAATCCTAATCCCTGTCATTTACCCCCAGAAAAGTTTTTATTTTGGTGTCTGTTTCTGTCGCCTCAACTCAACTTTCATCACCTCATGTTTCAGGGTTAGTGTGCGGCCCCCATTGAGCAGTGAGATAGGATTTTTTTTTTGCCAGATGAACCGATCCAGGATTTAGTCTAATCGGGCTTAAAACACAGCAGAGCTCTGGCAGACATTTTCTTTCCTTGACAAAATGAAGTTAATGCTGATGTTTCTTTGCATACTTTTGAGATTCCACTCTACACTATGCATCTCCACCCCTCATGTACACACACACATGCACACACACACATGCACACACTAAATGTTACTGAATTAATTTTAACCACAAGTGCAAAATGACTGGTTTATTCCCAGTGAATTTTCAAGCATTAAACTGGTCTTAAACAAGGCCCTGTAGATAGAGCAGGAGCTGCTTTAGGGTTTTGAACTGTACAGGGACTTAAAATAACTTGGTTTACACTATTTTTTGTAACTTATTTTTTTAATACAACAATGCAGTAGTAGTGGCACTGCTGCTTTTTGAATAGGTTGTTGTTGTGTCCAATTATGCAATTTTTAATCACACCTAAGTTCAAAAGGAATTGACTTTTTATTATTCGTGTACAAAAATTGAATATGATTAAATGTCCTTTTTGCTACTTTTGTGAAGTCAATTTCCAAGTAATATTATGGTATAAGTAAGTGTTGGATGGAAATCTGTAAATATCAAGTTGCAAGGTGAAGAAATCTTGATTTAAACATTCTTAGTTTTTATTTTAACTTTTTCTTTTTTTAAAGAAATTGAATTCAAAAGTTTTTTTTTTTTTTTGTACTTTAAAAAAAATAGTTTTTAGCTTTATGGCTTATTGTTAATAATTTGGTTGCTTTGTCTTCTGTCCTCAGGTACAATTGGCTTCTTCGCCTGCTTCTGGTTTGTAAATAAGATCTACAGTGTGGTGAAAGTGGACTAGAGGACTGAAGGAAGGACTAACTTGTGTCAGTGCTGGGCTCCTCAGTGCTGCTGTGTAATAATATTGTGGTCTGAACAGACCTAAAGTGCATCCATCACGTGATAGAAAAACCCCACTGAGCTGGGCCCATCCTCTTTCTGTGCTTTAAACCTCTGTTGCTATTCTTTTTTTTTTAATCTGAGTTTGTGTTCACTGTTTATATTTTGCGTGGCGCCTTGAAAATCAACGGGCTTCTAATGAAGTTGTCACCATGAGCGGTTTGTTTTCTGAAGTGTTTTCCTTTAAGGTTTTAAAGAAAGTAAAATATTTAGCATTTTATTTTTCTATTCTCTCATGGTTCCATGTTCCTTTTTTCCCCACTTCCTGTTCTGTGTGGAAACGAGTGTGTACATATATTGTATAGAGAGGGAGAACGTGTGAGAATGCCAATTAAAGATTGTCACCATTATCAAGTATTTTTTTTAGTTTTTGTGAATTGGCCTATATTTTGTTAATTCTCAATCTGTCATTGAAACGTAAAACATTGTATGATACATGTTCATTTTCTTGGTTGCATAGAGTAGAAGGTGCGCCGTGTACAGGAGGCACAATTGTATTATAGAGCAGCTTCAGATTGTTTCCTATTAAAGATGAACTCTACGACTTACTTGATGCGTTTTGGCCACACACACAAAAATTCCTCATTCGTAACGCATTCAACAAGTTTACTGATTTAAGCTCAACTCTTAACTATATTAAACACTGCTGTTGTTTGCTTCAGGCAGTGTGAGGTTATTTAAAGGTGATAACTTTACAAATAAAAGTAAATCACAAAGAAAACTGTCATCGTCTTTGACCTCAAACTCATTTTCCCCACGCCTATTTTTGTCTGGTGGGTAATAATGTTTTAGCTCATCTGTGTGTGTGTTGAGGATTTTTCCAAAAAAAGCTCATGGTTCGATTCCACAATTTTCTTTCCGATGCGGTGTAAAATTCAAGCTGGTGTCGCAATACCGATACTTTGTTCCAATACACCTAATGTGTTTGGTAAATTACAAAAAAGCAGTGCATTTCAAATCAAAGCTTCATAAAGAATACATCAAATTTATTTATTTTAAACTGAAGTATATTGAGGTAGTGGCCTCATTTACAATATATCTGAGCTTGTACAGACTGAGCAGCATGCCACTATGCTTAGACGCTATACGCATTTACCCAGGTCCCACCAGCCGCGTATCATTTAGACAAGATCTCAATAGTTTAGTTACTTTCCAACACGTTAATGATATTTATTGGCTGAAATGACTGAAGTATCAAAAGATTTGATTTGATCAATTCTAGATCATAAAGTACTGGTATCGATATTTTGGTATCGATCTGCACATCACTACTGAGACGCAAGGCAAAATTTAATTGCAGAGAACTCATTGGATGCACAACTGATTAACTTTTGGAGCCATCTGCATCCAAGATGGCTGCCACTTCCAACTGATTTGAAATGTAAGGATGGAAATAACTCAATTTTGGAGATACTGTGTTGATCTAAAATTTGTTGGGAGAGAGCTGAGATGCATTTTGAGCTCAAATGATTTTTGCCATAAAATATTTGGATTCAATGGCCTGTTAGCCAAATATGAACTACTGAACTAATTTTATTTTTTATACCTATAGCCAACTCGCCTTAAAAAATGTAGATTCAGACGACGTTATAAATCAGGGCTATTCAACTAAGCTGCTCAGAGGGACATAGTTACTGAAAGCCAAGAGCTCAGGGGCCACACATCTAGTAGTTATTCTCATTAAGTAAGTTTGTTTTACGATTTAAAATGTCTTATTTAGAAAGGAATCCATTGATGGGCCAAAGTGAGCCCACCTGTGCACCTGATTTGGCCCCTGGGTCGCCAGTTGATTAGCCCTGTTATCGATACAGAGCTAAAGTTTGGTGATGAGTCAAATATAAACTCCAAATGCTAATCATTGCTCGGCTATTTCTTGAAACCGTTCTTTGTATGAAATGCACACCGTCCTTGTCGTTTTTTGCCGCATACTTCATCTTACTGCAACCGTTCACGTTTATATTTGAGAGCATCCAGTTTTTATTTGGTCTAATCACATTTTTATGGTTTTGATCGTCTCAGTATTTGTACTACTGTAATAAACATGGCAACAACAGTTTTAAAAATGAGCAGAAAATAACTTTTACTATCAAATGTCATTTAATCCTTTTAGTAAAATATCACATGAACCATTGAGAAGGTCGTAGAAGAAAATAATCATTGCATGTAAAACTCATTCCAATGGATCCAATTCAAGATGGCCACCGCTGCTAATCAACATTAGTTGACATAAGAATGACTATGCCTCACATTTTTACATATATTGAGTTAATATTTGATTTAAGGTAAAGCTTTTAACACTCTTTGGCATGCAGTACTGCATGGGATTGCAGTTATTTTTTAAGGTTTGACCAAAATGGCTACAGATTTGTCATTTTTCTACATAAGATGAACTTATTTGAAACGAATGAAAGATGGGTGATGAGCTTTCCTTCTTGAAACACAATTTATTTAAAGAACTGAAATTCAAATTAGGCATAATAAGGAAGATTCATTTTGTTTTGCTGACAAATGCAGAGCACCACTTGGCATTTTAAGCCACAAAACACTTGATCTTTTCTTTAAAAAAAACCCACAATTTTAACCACTTCCTTACAAAAAGTTTAAAATGAAAGCACTCAACTCTTTTTTTTTTTTTTTTTAATATTTTAACTCATCTTAGTTGCTCTCAAGTGAGAAATCTGCCCAAACCTGAACATAAATTTAAGCCGAACACATTTTCTTCGCAGCTCCTTTTATTAAACAGAATGTATTGTTAAAACCGAAAATTGTAAATGCACAAAATATTCACAAAAATTTGTTTTTTTTTTAAGACAAAAAATGTTCCTCTTTGTGGAAATGTACAGTATTCTTCAGAGTCTGACGAGCTCGATTGTCAACTATATTTATATTTCTCTGTTGACCTGCTGAATAAACTGAGGGTTTCCACCAAAACAAGTAGGTGCTAAAGTATCCTGCAGAAAACAGAAAACTATCATAGTATCATAAGAAAGGAAATACACCAAAATCACCTCCTAGCCAGTCAGCTAAGCTCATTCTCTCTTTTTTTTTTTGTGTGTGTGTGTGAAAGGTACCAAAACATGACAAAGGATAAGCACTTTGTAAAAAATGCATCCAAACCATGGTTTAAACTCTGAACAGAATTACTCTGAGTTATCACAAGCATACGCTCTTGTATTTAGTCAATTTAAAATATGTCGAGAGGTATTTTTTACGTCTACATGTGTTCAATGGAATGTAGGAAATCAGTTATATAAGCTCGTCTGACATGCAGCCTACTTTAGATAACTGGTGCACAGAGTTCGCTGTATTTTTATCACACTTTGCTCTTGATGTTGTAGCGTTAAAAAAAGAAAAGCTGTTGTTACAGAGGCAGTAAATACCAAATATGGCACACTGAAGTAAGAGGTACAAATTATATTTTGTAAAACCAAATAAAAAGTAAAGGGAAAACCTTTTAGTTTATGTTCTAACAGGCACAGGTTTAAATTTTTTAAAGGCGCTTTCAGACTAAAATGTTACTGCGACAGGAAACACACGTACTCATAACCTCAAGACGATTGAAGAACTGCGATGGACACTACATCTTTTCCTCTACAGACAATACCCTGAGTTTAAAAGTTAAAAGTAAAGCTCATTGCACCATAGAAGTGGTTCTCAAACTTTTCAAATTTTAACCCACAAGAAACGCAGAAACAGGATATTTGGGACTTGGCACTTCAACTTTGCTGTTTACAGAAACATAGCAAAAAGCTATTTAACAGTCTCATCAACATTCAGACTAATTTCTTCATCCATTCATGTTTGTTTAGGATTTGCAACTCTGTTACAGTAAGGACAAATATGTAATTTACTGTATTTTTTGGCCTATAAATCATGTTTTTCTTGCATGACCTGCAACTTATATGCCAAAGCAACTTATTTATGGATTTTCCCCAAATTTATAAACAAATTTTTGGCTGAGACATGACTGTTTTCATTCATTCTGACTGAAAACATTGAACACTATCATTTTCAGCCACTAGATGGCACTCAAGTTGTATGGCATGCCGTTGTGTCATGTAATAAGTAAACGTGGCTATTAATGACACAGTCGGCTTGCCTTAGACGCCATCTTTGTCCAGCTCGCCTGGAGCAACTGTCAAATCAGCTTCGTTTCGATGCGCTGCCCTGGTGAAATGCAGCTAATTTCACAATTGAAGTGCATTTATTAAGTAAAAGTTCAACTGAAACACACTTTTACTATAAAGTCAAGCAAAGCAAATAATTGTTTTTATGTGATTATCTTGTTAAATTTCAAAGCAATGCACATTAAGTCCTCCCATGCACGCTCCTACTTCCGTGTATCGGCTTTTGAAATGCAGCTGATTTGACCGTCAAAGTGCTTTTATTAAGTAAAAGTTAAACTGAGACACACCTTTTCTATAATTTTGAGCAAACAATTAATTGTTTTTAAGTGTTAATCTTGTTAAATTCTTGTTAAAGTCCTCCCGTGCACGCTCCCACGGCCGCCATTTGGCAGCCACTCGATTTTTGGCACAACACCGGCCCACATTTCCAGGTTTTCAGCGATGACGCATCAGCGGTGACGCATAATAGATGCGACGTATACAGCGAATCAACGTATTTAGGGATTTTTTTCCACTTTATTAGACATATTTGGACTGATGTGACTTATAGGGCAGTGCGACGTGTATGGCGGAAAATATGGTAATTTGATTTCTGCAACTATGAAGACCACTTTCTTTGTGCTTCAAGACCCACAATGGGGTCACGACCCCAACTTTAGGAACCACCGTACTAAAGAATAGTATACCCTGTTACCACGCATGGTGCACACACAAACAATGTTTCAAAAGCGCATTTTAAATAAATACATTATTTCTTGATTTTTAAATACTAATGATAGGATTGCACACAAAACATAAAACCAACTGTACACGTTGTAACTCTTAAAACTGTATATGCTTAAAAATATGTGTGCTTATCTCTCACAGATACTTCTGTTAAATATTGTTGCTGTGGCATCAAAGTAATTTTTTGAAGATGAACTTAAGTCAACGATCATTATGTTGATAATCGAGTACTACTGGTTCCAACATCGAGATCTTTGTGTATAAATACACAGCACGACGAACTCTTCCTGTGAGACCACAAAGCTCCGGCTGCTCATGAGCTTTGTTTGCTGTGAAGAAGCTCTTTTTCCGAGCAGACGCTGGTGGAGGTGGTCTCTTTACGGCTGTCTCTTGACTTCCTCTCACATGTTGGAGAGGAGGATGTTGTGCACTCCTCCCAGGTCTGCAGAGGGAAGACTCGGGCCGTCAGACTGGGCAGGTGAGGGTGAGCACCGGCCCGCCCCTCCGTCGTTGTGAAGCAGCTCTCCACGGCCGAGCTCTGGCGGGGACGCCCCTGCTTACAGAGCAGCCCGTAGAGCAAAGCCACAAACTCTTTCCTCACGCTGCGATGCATGTATCCGTAAATGTATGGATGTAGGCAGCACTGTAAAAAGAAGAGGACAAGGGCAAGGGAGGACAACCAAGGGGGCACAGCTGCCCTGTGACTAATAGATACAGTGTTCAGAATGCTGTAAGGACCCATGCTGAAGATGTATGACGCCATGATGACAAAAACAACACGGGCGGCCTTGCAGTGGTAGTGGAAACGTCTGTGTTTGACTCGAACAGGGTGTCGCCTGGATGCATAGGGACCCTCAGGCAAACTGACCTGTAAGGACTCCTGTGGACTGATGGGCCCTTGGAAGTCCTGCGGGTGGGGCTGGGAGTAGGATTGTGTCTGTATAGGATGCACAAGAGCGTTCTGCCTCCGAGCTGCTCTGAACACCATCCAGTAACATCCGAGCATGATGAGCACAGGCAGCCAGAAAGAAAAGGTGGACACCACAGCAGAGTAGGACCAACTGGAGGACCACACTACTGTGCAGACCTTCTGATGGCGGTCAAAGTCAATCACCCCCCAGCCATAAAGAGGGGGTGTGCTCTGCAGGAAACTTAGCACCCAGGTGAAGACTATAAGGTTCGTGCCTAAGTGAGGGGTCATTCTGGTTGGATAAGACAGAGGGTGGATAATGGCCAGGTAGCGATCCACCGAGACGACTATGATGGTGTTGACGCCAGCGAATGCAAAAAGGTGCATGGGCACCACCAGAGCCTGGCACAGCCAAGCATCCAGGGGCCACACACCAGGCACAGCAGCTGCTATGGCAAAGGGCATGACTAATATGGTCTGGAGAAGGTCAGCCAAGAGGAGGTTGAGGACAAATCGGTTGGCAACATGAAGGAGCTGAGGCTTCCTCTGGAACACCAGCAGAACGACCACATTCCCAAACAGGGACAAGCACACAATCACAGATATGAGCACCACCTTCACCGTGCTGTCAGCTACGGACCAGTCTGGGTCCGGACTGCGCTCCGGACGAACACTGGTGAAATTAGTGTCCATAGCAGGCGCCTGCGAACTTGACATTGTGTACCCAGCAGGGCGTCAACACAAAGTCAGGTCAGTCCTGTGTGGATCAGGAGAGAAAAGCAACTCATTTGCTTTTTGGTTAGTTGTACTCCTTTTGTCAATGGATTCCAGAGGCAAAAACATCTGGCATCGGTTTGTAAAAAATCATTTCATCCAGCCTGACACACCATCCACAAAACGAGACATTTCCCCCCACGAGTTTAATCCACCAGAAGCTGAAACCATCAGCGCTTCTCTGTTCATGGTGATCAGTAATTAATCCCTGAAGGCTTCACCCAGTGAGCAGGCCCCTCTCTGCACGCAGCCGACATCTACAGGATGGAGACAAAACTGAATTTGGCGACAGCAGATGCCACCGCTCGAGCCGCCGCCGGCAAAGTCTCGCGGACTCCTTGAAGCTGTAATCGATGCTCTAATACCTGCGGATGATCAGAGAGGCGATCATTTGGCTGATGACGGTGCTCCCTCCTCCGCGCGGCGGCGGGCGCTCACGGCTCAGCCGAGGCTGCGCGTCTTCACCCAGCGGGGGTCTCTCCTCATCATCCAGGCGAGCAGCATCTTCTCCGCCGCTGCTCTTTTTCGGATTTCAGGGTGGATCAAGCCTTTCCTGATTTTATCAGCTTTGATGCATCGTTAAAATGTCATCTCCGAGGTGTCGAGGAAAAAAAAAAGGGACACCTGTACAGAAATCTCCCTCGCAGCTGGAGCTCGTCAGCGACACCCCCCCCCCCCCCCCTCCTCCTCCTCCCCCCCCTCCTGTTGTTACCAGTCTTTCACCCTCCTGCATGACATATTTTCGTCTGCATGGTGTTAACACAAGCCTTAACTCGGCTAAATGTGCCTGATAATAAAAATGAACACATAGGGGTGAAATATAAAAATGGATTCATCAACATATATTCTTATTCATCTATTTAGAAATGTTCATTTAGCAAATAATTATATGAGCAGTTATGCATAACCGCATAACGCAAGGAGATAGCAGGTGATATGCATTTATTCGAGTAGCCTATCGCACATCATGACCAGTTCCAGCTGTTTTGGTCAAACCTTGAAAATAATTTGTTCAATCTCATGCCACGCCCTCAGAGTATGTGTCGTGAATGACTCTCAGCTACCATCACACCAACTTTCCAGCTGAATTTCTGTAGATTTATAGAGTTACTGCCATTTTATGTGTTGATTAATTCTGATCAGCTTTGGCGACCAGTTTGAATTGGCCGATTTGAAAAAGTTATCAGTTGTAGAGCTACATTCATTGATAACTTTCTAAAAGTTTCATTTATATCTGGCCAGTGGTTCGTGATATATTTTGCTAACAGACAAACAGGGTTCACTTCAACAGTTAATGCTAAAGTTTTAAGCGAAGATCTCACGCAGTACGTAACACTTAGAGTATATGTTGCGTATGACTGAAATTTACTGCCACGACAACATTTAGCACAATATCTGCAAAATTGACTGAATTAAAGGTATTTTTTGTTCTTTACAGTCAGTTTGCTGGAGGTAGCCATCTTGAATTGGGTTTACTCCAAAAGTTAATAAGATGTGGAAGTACATCTAATGATTGTTTTGTGAAAGTTTCATAAAAAATGTATCCAGCTACTTTGTTGATAGACAAAATGTACTCCTATGGAAGATTTTTAAACAAAGGTGTTGCGTTCAGAGTATGTATTGGGGATCCGTCTCAGCTACTACCACAAAACATGGTAGGTCAGTATCTGTATAAACTGAGTGAACTCAGGACATTTTTGTTGACAGCTGTGCTTTCGGTGTACCCCGCCTCTTCCACCGGATACAGGCATCAGCGACCCTACCGGGATGCATATATAATGTCTATGGGTAAACATAATGGATGGATGATTTTGGCAGCCATTTTTTAATCGACTTGACTCTAAAACGTAATCATTTGAAGATGTACATCCAGTGATTATTTTCTGGAAGTTTTTATTAAACTTTATTCAGTGGTACAGGATATATAGGTACATGGGAAGTGGTGGTGTAGTGGTTAGAAAAGGTGGGTATGTGATTGGAAGGTCACCAGTTCAACTCCCCGGACTGACAACATCAAAATGTGGGTGGGAAAGGTCAAACAGCCAAACCTGCCTCCATCTTCATTTCCCCCACTCTGGGCCCTGAACCACCATCTGCTCCCTTGGGTGCCCTGGATGGCAGCTCTCTGCTCCACACAGAGGCAGTATGGTAGCTCGGTTGTCTGTGGTTGTGTCAGGAAGAGCATCTGGCCTAAAAACAATTGTCAAGTCTTTGTGCTATGGTGACCTCTGAAGAAGGGAGCAGCCGAAAGAAGAAGGGGAAAAAAATCACCGACAGGACATCATTTGGTTCAAAACAAATTTAGCTGCTCATTCAGTTTGGATCATCAGATACATCACTTTATGTTTCTGTTAGCCGGTTCACATGAGCACACAATAAATAAATAAATAAATAAATACACAAGATGGCTGTCATGTGCTGCCAGAAGAAATTCTAACTGACGTGATTAAGCAGTACAATATTAAAGTTTTATTCCATATACTAATTATTGCAGCTGTTCTATTTCATGGATGTGGTGAGTTGTGGTGTACCACAAGGATCATTCCTTGTGTTCCTTCTATTCTCTATTTAAATGCAAAATTAGAAACATGTTATACCTGATTCAAACTTTAGATATGATACTTAAGTCAACCATAAAGTTAAGCTTAAGACATCTACACTTTTGTTTACTTTTGCTTATAATCATGTGCGTTATACTGGTATCAGTCACAGTTTTCAGTATTGCTGCCAGCCGGTCTAAAATGCTGCAGCATATTCCTTCACAGAAATGATCACACCTTACATTTCATATTGCCACATACAGTATCTGATCCATAGGGAACTTAGTAAAGTCAAATGGTATCAACATTGTTTTGTTAGTAATGGAGTATTTTGGAAAATGGAGAACAAGACATAATTTATTTGCATAACAAGCAGATGTTTATTGTAATTTTTTTTAACCTCCGCTACAGATTAAAAAAAAAAAAAAGAAGGGAAACCTGAATAAATAAGTTAATCATTTATTCTCTGAGAAGACAAGAAAACTTTGATTATTCTTTTGACTCAGATTTAACATTTTGTATTGATGATAAAATAAGACACCTAGTTTTGATCAAATAACAAAACTTTAAAGCTCTTCTTTGAATGCTGGTGCACAATCTCATTGCGGCAATCACAAAAAAATTGCTTTAACATTTCAGCCTTTGTGACGAGAGAAAGGGGAAAAAAACGAGGATTCATTAGGATGCGCAGAAAACAAAAGCAGTTCCTCATTGTGCAATCCAATTAGTCTGTGGCTTACATGGCCTACTAATCAACACTAGTAATTAGCCATTTTATTTCAAGTCTGTGCTCCATCCGAGCTATCAAAAAGCTCTTTGATGTGACTCTCGAACACCCCGTGTTTTAGATTTAGATTGCAAATGAAATGCTGGTGACCACAAAGGGGTGTGGAGATGTTTCCCTGTTCTTTATGTTGAATGCCCTGCGGTTCAAAGGGAGACCCACTGGCCTTCTGTTTCATGGGATTATCAGACACGCTGTATGCTATATGAATGCTCACGGTGGCTTTAAGTGCTAATGCCTCTGCCTCTGCATCTGCCGCTCACTTTTACTTCCAATGTGCTAGTTGAGCACACATTGTGTAGAAAGACCAGGCATTGCAAAGTTTATTGGACGCCTCAGAAAATCTGCATTTTTAGTAATAACAACCTAAACAAATGTTTTGTGTCTTATCATTCTAAAGGATAACAATTTGTTAAAACTATAATCACTTATTTGGCTTTCTCTTCTAATGTCAAAAAAGTTAAATGTGAAGTATGTTTTTAATCTATTTTTCTTTTCCTATTTTATTTAATAACCAAAAAAATGCACACAGGGTCAGAAAAGACACAAAAAAATTGAAACATTAAATGATTTTATAGTAGTAACAGTAAAGTTACAGCTTTATTTTTCAACAGTTCTTTATTATTGATGCACCATAAAGTATGTTACTATAGAGTTGTTGATTTCATAGTGAAATTACGTTTTCATCATCATATTTCCTATTTTCATCCTGCTGTTAATATACAATGCATTGTGGGAAAATATTAGGCTACCTTTAAGCAAACTACAGTAATACTGACTACTGTATATTCCGCCATATACGTCGCACCGCCCTATAAATTGCATCATACCATACCATACCATACCAATTTATTTATATAGCACTTAAAACAGCAACAAGGCCAACCAAAGTGCTGTACAAAAGAACCATCAGTCATCAGCATCAGTCCATATTTGTCTAAAAAGTGGAAAAATCCACAAATATGTCGCTTCACCGTATACGTTGCATCTATTATGCGTCACCGCTAACGTGTCGTGTTTGATTCGCGTCACTGCTGACAACCCGGAAATGTGGGCTGGTGTTGTGCCAAAAATCAATGGGCTGCCAAATGGCAGCCGTGGGAGCGTGCACGGGAGAACTTTTACAACAATTAAACAAGATTAACACTTAAAAACAATTATTTGTTTGCTCGAAATTATAGTAAAGGTGCGCCTCAGTCTAACTTTTGCTTAATAAATGCACGTTGACGGTCAAATAAGCTGTATTTCAAAACCCGATACACAGACGTAAGCTCGTGCACGAGACGAGTCGCTGTGCAAATTTAACCAGATTAACACCTAAAAACAATTGTTTGCCCATAATTATAATAAAGGTGTGTCTCAGTCTAACTTTTGCTTAATAAATGCACTTTGACAGTCAAATCAGCTGTATTTTAAAAGTATTCGCTGCCTCGGTGCTTCCAGGAGCGCGCAGACAGGGAGGAAAAAAGAAGGAGGAACGCTGCACATTTTTTCGAAATTTAATGAGAAAAGCACCTAAAACAATTATTTGTTTGCTTGAAATTATAGCAAAGGTGTGTCTCAGTTGAACTTTTACTTAATAAAAGCACTTTAATGGTCAAATTTGCTACATTTTGCCG